TTTTATTTTATTTATTTATTTATTTATTTATTTATTTATTTATTAAATAATAAACACAGATCATTCCTTTTATTTATTCCCCTTGCATTCTTTTTTTGGGGGGCTGGGTAACGGAGATCGAACTCAGGACCTTGCGCTTGTGAGGCAGGCACCTGAACCACTGAGCTAAATCCCCGGCCCCTTCCTTTTATTTTTTAAATGACAAAAGGAAGAAGTTTTTCTGAGATAGCTGTTTCTTTAGATGTTTAAATAGTTTAGAATAGGTAAAGTTATCACTCAAATTATAATAATTAGTTTTTGAGCTAATTAGTCTGAGCCTTAGGGTAGGGCTCTCCTTCTCCTCCCCCTCTCCTTTTCTTTCCCTCCTCATCCTACCCCTCTTTCTTTTCTTCCTCTTTATTTCTGTTTCATTTATATAGCTTATCATATGGGAACTGGCAGCTTCTTAGCCAAGTTGTTAATGATTTAGGAACATATTTTAAAAGCTTACTATAAAGGGATGCATACCTTAAAATTTTAAGTCTCCTTTTAGAGCAACTATTTATTTGCAATTTTTGGGAAAAATGTAAAACCAAGTTTTAGAAGTAACTTTGATTTCTTAGAAGACTGTGAACTTTTGACCTTTAATGCCAGTTCTTCAGAATTAATTTACAGTGCTTTGCTTTTTTATGATAGAATAAAAGCATAGTTGGTGAATTGTAGAATTTCAGTTTTTTACATTTAAATGGAATTGAGAATGATGGTGATAATATATCAGATAAATATTGAAAATATTCAGAATCTTCCTATTTCTCCGAATTAAGTACTCGAGCAAGTGCCTGCCCAGGTGTCACTAAGATGTGATCTCACTGTACATGCAATAGCTGTGAAAGGGGCCCTTGGGTAGTTTGTCACATAGAAACAACCTGTTCTGTCTATCAAGTTTGCCTCAGCTTTCGTTGTCCCTAAGAACAGCAGGAATGTGACTGGCTTGCTTAAATAAAGCTTCATCTGTGCAGCACATCTGCATCCTCTGGTGTTCCACTTTTTAAACATCATTTTGCACATTGTTTGTTTCAGTTGTTTAGGTGAACATTTACTCATCACTTTCAGAGGGAAGGGCATATAGAGGCACCACAGGAAAAAACTGTAAACTTGTGAAATTTGTATAACTTATAGCTAAATTTAAATATTATGCAATAATAAATCCTGATCAGATAAAAATGAAAGTGGTTAAATATTTTTGTACTTTTTAAATATCTATTAGATTTTGGTGATTTATTCATTTTAACAAAAATTTACTGATCCTCCAATATTTTTAGGCACCAGGAATACAAAAGAATCTTAGTTTCTTTGGAGATGCAAACATATAAATAAGCACAATATAATTAAGTGTTATAGAGGTTTGTACAAAATGCTCAAAATATGCTGTCTGTTGATAGTTATTTAGGGAAAGTAGAAAGTATCACCAGGCTAAATTAAAAATATAGTGTATGTGTGTGAGAGGGTAGGTAGGTGGTTTATATCTGAAAAAAGTGATTTTTGGAACAATACTTGCACTCTGATATTTTTATTGTGAATTATTTCTTAAAGTGCTGGCCAAAAGTCTGTAATACCCTTGATTGGAAAAACAGCTGTGGTAGGAAACAAGGGAAACTTGGTTTTAAACAGGTGTATAGTTTATGCTTATTGAGAATTTACTAAATACAAATACTACACTAGATGTTTTTTTAAATGTATCATTTCATCTTTGCATTAGTCGTGAAAGGCATGAGCTGTTACTGCCCCCATTTTATAGATGAGGAAGTTGAAAACACACAGTAGTTGAGAACTTTCCTAAATTTATATAATCTAGTAAATAAGTGAGCCCAGGTCGCAGCTCAACTCTCTGTGATTCTAGAGCCCCCCATGAAATCCCTGACTGTGCACCCAGGACCAGAAGCACAAAAATAGCTTGTGGCCTTTTTGAGTTTTTCATGTTCTGCCACTAAGTCAGTTATAGTTTAGCCTTCCTGTGGTTTCATAACATCTAAAAGGGGTAGAAGTAAAGGTTGGAGTTCTCATGGTATAGACAAAAGTTTATAAGAAGATAGGGAC